AAAATGTTCCATCACTGGTGAATATGCGCGGACAACTGAAACAAACATTATATATCTATAAATAGAAATTTATTACTTTTTGACAAGCAAAGCCAACCAGGGGAGGAGCCAGGATTTAAGGTAAGACAGTGCATACTATCACGGGTGAGGAAACGGTTACACGAAGGATGGAGTTATTATGATAACTTGTCACGCAGTTCATGGAAAACGTAACAGATTTCGTCGGAAAACTTTATTGTAGTAAAAAATTGAAATATAGTTAAATGGGGAGTTCAAGTGTTAAATTAAACTTTGATGATTAAGCTTGCCTTTCAAATTTGTATTTTATTTCAGAAAAAAACTTGAAAGTCCATTTGTCATCGCCTCTTGTTTAAAATCTGGTAGTTTTGTGTAAAAATTCCAAATTACTTGCTCACTCGAACATACTGACCTTTTTATTTATGATCTTCTTATCTAATTATGATGGAAAGTTGCAAATGTAATGCCCAGGCTAATAGATTTATACCCGATTTTCCAAATGTCACAGAGTTCTTGCGATAACTCTGAAAATGTCCTAGAGTTCTTATGATAACTTTTGTTACTGCCAGTGTGTTTCAAGATTGTGCTATGTTACGGCACGTTTTAGCGTATTTTATTATTTAATAAGTGGTAAATCATTATGAAGCGTAAAGTACGTAGTACGCTTATCATTTGCACACAAATTTGGTTATATAACGTTGGTTCTTATCTCCGTTTCTTGTGGTTTTTTCTTCTCAATTTATATAACTTTTTACTAACGCATGTTTTGTAGACTGAAAAAGGCTAAATATAGTCCATTAACATACAGGATAAAATATGCTTTGAATTCAATACTTAAGCATGATGTCTTCATGTATCAAGGGGGTGAATCCATGCGCGCGCATCCTTAAAGTTCTGATACCGCGAACACTTCATCGGCCGGTATTTCGAAGAAAAACGGGTGGTGTGAAGAAATCAGAAAAGGTATGAATTTAATTTGTTTTGCAAAGAAGATGTCCTAACTTCTAGTTTTTATATTCAAAATGTCTTGAAGTAACTCTTTCCTGTTTTGTCAGTATTTCGCGTTGAATGCGATTTTGATTCTGGATAGTGCGTACACCCGGCGTTGAAATGTTACAGAAATTGAGCAAATATCGATTAAACTGGCCGTTTTAAACGGCTGGTAGTTATACTGTTATAGAATCCTTTTCAATAATATATTTTCAACCTTCGTTCCAATTCATCTGTACTAAAAATGTATTTAAACGCACTATTTACAGAAAACAGAGATTATGATATTGCGTACACTCTAAAAAAACCAGATACTGCGTACACATATCTATGCAATTGATAGAAAGTACATTTTATTCGAAGCAGTCTAAGGTTTATAAAATGATAAAGCGGATTACATGGGTGTCCCATTTGAAGAATAATTTAAAATCTACATCCTAGAAAATGTTTAGAATTAACATTTATTTATGCAATTTGTTTAGGTATTTATGTAAAACCTGGTGAATAATTGTCTATCTTGATAATGTTTTCATACTCTACATTTCAAAATAAATTACTTCTTACAGTCAAATTTATATATTATTTAAGAAAATGAATGTGTGTCGATTTTGTGGTGAATTCTTTGCCAGTTAATCTTCTCTCAGACAGCATGAGGCACGACATCGACAAGATGGCCCCTACAAATGTGATATATGTAGTCAAGTGGCTTTTTTGGAGTACCATTACAAAACACACATGCAGCGTCATTCCTCTGAACGCAAGTACGAATGTAAATGCGGCAAATCGTTCAAGACATCTCATGATTTTAAACGCCATGGACAAAGAAAGAGCCAAACAAAGGAATTCAAATGTGATGAATGTGGCTTCGCCATCTCTAATAATAAAGATCTTAATGATCACAAAGATAAGCACGAGAATAGAAAACGTCATAAATGTGGAAAGTATGGCAAAGCATTCAGGTATAAATGCAATCTTTACAGACACTCCAAAATGCACGAAGGGAATGAATTTACATGTGAACATTGTAGGAAAAAAATTCCAAGCAAAGCAGCTATTTCGTCCCATCTCTCATATGCAAGTAAAGATCCTGTCAAGTGCAGTATTTGTAAAAAGTATTCAGTCATACCAAAACTCTTAAGGAACACATGAAAAAGAAACACAGTTAAAAGTTCGTGGAACATGAACGCATTCCAAAGAAATAACTTGCTGCAAGCGTTTTTAGTTCAAGTTACAAATATATGCTATTTTCATGTGCAATTTAATTTACCATGTTTTTCCCATGAAGTGTCTGTAGAGATTGCATTTATACCTGAATGCTTTACCACACTTTGCCACACGTTCCACATTTATAACGTTTTCTATTCTCGTGCTTATCTTTGTGATCTCTAAGATCTTTATTATTAGAGAAGGCCAAGCCACATTCATCACATTTGAATTCCTTTGTATGGCTCTTTCTTGGTTCATGGCGTTTTAAATCGCGAGATGTCTTGAACGATTTGCCGCATTTACATTCGTACTTGCGTTCAGACGAATGTTAATTCTAAACATTTTCTAGGATGTAGATTTTAAATAATTCTTCAAATGGGACACCCATGCAATCCGCTTTATCATTTTATAAACCTTAGACTGCTTCGAATAAAATGTACTTTCTATCAATTGCATAGTTATGTGTACGCAGTATCTGGATTTTTTTAGAGTGTACGCAATATCATAATCTCTGTTTTCTGTAAATAGTGCGTTTAAATACTTTTTTAGTACAAATGAATTGGAACGAAGGTTGAAAATATATTTTTGAAAAGGATTCTACAACAGAATAACTTCCAGCCGTTTAAAAGGGCCAGTTTAATCGATATTTGCTCATTTTCTGTAACATTTCAACGCCGGTTGTACGCACTATCCAGAATCAAAATCGCATTCAACGCGAAATACTGACAAAACAGGAAAGAGTTACTTCAAGACATTTTGAATATAAAAACTAGAAGTTAGGACATCTTCTTTGCAAAACAAATTAAATTCATACCTTTTCTGATTTCTTCACACCACCCGTTTTTCTTCGAAATACCGGCCGATGAAGTGTTCGCGGTATCAGAACTTTAAGGATGCGCGCGCATGGATTAACCCCCTTGTGTATACATTATTCCTGGCAGTTTAAGAGAACATTAAGTAACAATATGTTATTGGTCTGCCGAAACAAAATACATGTTAATGGTTTGCAGCAAAATATGAAGTAGTATGCACTAACTTTATCTACATTTAATGAGGTTGGGGTCATCTTCAGGTATTCAACTGATATTTTGATTTCTGAAAGGTATTAATTTTTGCCATATAGACGTAGAAAAAATATGAGAACGATATAACAGTTTTCGTGCACTGCAGTTATTGTCGTGAGAGTAATTGATAAAAAAAACATGAATTATATATCACTTGAAGGTGAAATATGTCTCAAATAAGAAAACAAAAGAAAAAGCCGTGTAACCGGCGTTTCGTGTAGTGACGACTCATACAGTTACTTAAGTAACGTAAAACCGGTGCACGACAAAAAAAAAGGGTAAGTTCATTACTTTGATGCATCACAGTATCCTTTAAACACTACATATAAGGGAAAAGTGTGTACACGTACGTATTCCTGACGTCACTTGAAAATATGACGTCATTCGCCCTATTGTAAGGTTTTTGTGTTGTCGTTAAAGAGTTGATAAATTGGTATTTGGGCCTCGTATTTTTTGTAATCATTTTTTTTAAATCAATAAATCTATTAAATGGCGCCGTAACTTTATATAAAGAAGTGTTTATAATTTAGTTTGGTAACTATATTTTTCTACACATCAAAGGACAGCTGAAGGGACGGAAGTTCAAAACACTATATAAATGATCTTCAAAATGCAGTGTTCTGAATAATTTGTACAATTCCAATCTCCTTAAGAACAAACACTTTATATTGATGTTATATCCTTTTAACTCCAACCTTTTCTCGTTAAACAATTTAGCATTACAGAAGGTCATTTCAGCCGTGCCATGACAAAACCAACATAATCGGTTTGCGACCAGCATGGATCCGGACGGATGCGCAGGCTGGCCTCGATCCATGCTGGTCGCAAACCCATTATGTTGGTTTTGTCATGACGCGGCTCAATTTTTATTCTAGTTAGGATGCTGTTGAATTTTCCTGTACTTTATTGATACAAGACATTAGCAAACTTGTATATCAAGTTACATTCTATTAAAATAATTTCACGTCTTCAGTTATTATGTTTATGCAGGTGAAGAAATCGTGTGTACATAAAAAAATAAAATAATGATAATAAGCACCGCCTAGCGGGAGTCACACTTGATATTTTCTTACTCATCGGATGACACAAAGTAAGGAATACTCCAACAAAACATTAACAACAACATATTGTTATGGACTGGAACGGGAACGGAAACATGATTTTTCCCGCAAAAAGTCAAGTACAGTACAGTCAAACTGGTAAATAAGGACCATCCAAAGAGAGAACATGCATGGCATTGAATGACAAAAGGTATTTATTAGGAACGACATTTTTCAATGAAGGTTTCTAAAAAAGTGGTCTTAACTACTGGGTCTTAAATCTGAGTTTGTCTCTAACAATGGTTTGACTGTATATCAATTCTGGAAAGTCACATGCATAGCGTATTTAAGTAAAATTTTACTTGTTTTCATCCGGTTATAACGTCTCCACTCTAAAAACCTCTGAAAAATGTTTGCTTTCTTCTGTCTGCCCTGCCTTGTTTCATCTGAAGAATAATTGAAACATAAACAATTTAATCAAATCAGTTATAAGAATTATGATACCTATACTTGAACCATTGTAATTGAATCTGTGCTGTATAATAGAAGTAGCCACTAAAATGTGCTGTATGATACAGTTACCATAAACATGTGCTGTATGATAACATGATAACAGTTACCATAAACATGTGCTGTATGCTAACATTTACCATAAACATGTGCTGTATGATAACAGTTACCATAAAATTTATTGTGTACTGTATAATAATTGTAACCGCTTAAGTGTGATAGATAACAGTTACCATTAAGGTGTGCTATAGGTAACAGTTACCACTTAAGTGTGCAATATATCAACAGTGACCACTAAAATGTTCCGAAATTACTGACGTACAGGTATTCCGTTATGTTCGGCAGGCATTGTTACCACCCAATGGGCGGGTTTCCCTTGGTACGGATATTCCGATCTGAACCGCAACATATGACAGGTATTATTAATATATTATTCATCTGTTACCTTTCAAGTGAAAATAAAACCTTCAACGCTGTACTCATTTCCCAAATTGACAATTTAGTAAGTCAACACATTGATTAGTTGGCGAACTGCACTACGCAGTTTAGGTAGGTAGGTAGGTGGTCACTTTTCTTAACAACATTTCTCAAACGAAAAACATTGTTTGGGGATTAAATAGGGTATTTTGTCACTGTTTGAGGCCTCAAAAGGGGGACAATTAATGGAACTGTGTAAAATGAAACGTCACTTTAACATTAGACAAACAGTACTTGTCAAATATTGTACATGTATATAAGAAGGGAGATATAAACGACTTAATCCCCATCTATAATGGTGTAATTTCATTTTTGGATATTGAAGGAAATATATATACTGGTACTGTCCAACAATATTGATCTGGCACTTCATTAACTTTCGAAAAGATCATTGGATAAACACTGGTATCTAACGAATATATTAATATACTTGTAAGTTTCACACGTCAGTGCGATGCGGTGTGTTGGTATAGATCTGAAGATCTCTGGTTCTATTCGTAACCAACACCACGATATGAAGTTTCTTTTTTCCCCCTTTTTAGGCGGGGGGGGGGAGTGGCTTTACTAGCAAGAATTAATTTGAAACCGTTTTACTACATGTGGTTTAAAGAATCCTTTTGTATTATTGTCATATTCTTACCACTTCCCTATGGTGGCTGATTTGTGCCATTAGTGTTTTCGCCCCACGACCCCGACAAGCGAATAGTCAAGAATTTTCAAGTTAAAGTGGCTTAAATTTAAGAAATAAAACGGGGGTCGCTAATGTACGTTTATTCGCCAGCAAAAAATCGAATATTAACAAGAAACAGCAGGTTCCCCTTGGACTAATACCGGTGTATACTTTAACCAAAATGTTACCTCGTTATTAAAGGCCCATTATGCCTCAACCTCTTTTTTCTCAAAAGCCTTTAATGATTGGATGTTCGGCTGTAGTTTCCAAAATGTAACTCGTTGGCCAAGTACATGAATTATCTTTTTAATCTATTGCTGTTTGGCAATAAGTACAGTTAAAAAGTGAATTAGTACTGTCGATTCAAATATGATCGAGAATGGGAAATCTTAAATTTAAAAGTACATAGGGGTGGCAGGAAAAAAAAACATATACGAAAACGCATTACCAGGAAAACAGGTGCTTGAATATTATCTGGTCTGACAGTATAGTGGTTAAGGAGCTTGTTTTGCATGCGGACGGTCGTAATTTGAAATCCCATAACGGATAATACTATTGGTCTTTTTTACTTGCTATTTCATTTACATGTATATATATTTTCAATGTTTTTATTCGCGAGAATGCATAGACATATATAATAAGTTCCAATTCAATTCAATTCAACAATTAAAACCATGCCTTCAACCTCTGTGGCAAACTCAGTCGCGCTGGCATGTTCGTCTCCAGTGCTAAGAGAGTACCTCAATAGGTGATTACCACGGAGAAATGAAAAGTGAGGTTTTCATCCAGTGGCTTAATCAAAAGCTAATCGTTAATCTTCCAGCACACACTGTCGTGATAATAGACAACGCACCTTATAACACTTTTGCGATGACAAGTTTCTAACGAAATCAAATACAAAAGTGTGATGACGTCTTTCTTACAGCGCCATAACCACGGGGGAGGTAGTGTTACACGAAGGATGGAGTTCTTATGATAACTTGTTCAGGAGTTCTTGTGATAACTGCCACGGAGTTCGTCGGAAAACATCTGTATATATTACAAAAACTACCGTCAAAAATGGTTATTTTCATCGTTCAAAAATGAGTTTTAGGTGCTAAATTAAACTTTAATAATTAAGCTTGTCTTACATCTTGTATAATGTGTCAAAAACTAATTCACAGGCCATTTTAAATCGCCTCCTGCTATAAATCTGGTAGTTTTCAGTAAAATTTCCAAATTATTTGCCAATTCACAAGTATTGATCGGTTTATTTCTGGTCTTCATCCTTGCCATACATAATTACCTAATTATATTGCAAAATTGTAAACATAAAGCACAGGCTAACAGATTTATACCCGATTTTTCAAATGTCCAGGAGTTCTTGTGATAACTCTGAAGATGTCACAGAGTTTTTATGATAACTTTTATTATTGCCAGTGTGTTGTTTTTTTTGCGCTAAATCACGGCACGTTTTAGTGTTTTTTATTATTCAATGAGACTGTAATTCATTATGAAATGTAGTACGCTCATCCTTTGCGCAAAAAATTAGGATATATAATGTTGGTTTTGAGTGAATTTTAGTTCAAGAGATATTATTTCTTACCCCCGTTTCTTTTTCATAGTTTTTGATGTTGTTGTTTGACGCAGATTTCGTTGACTGGAAAAAGGATTTATGTACTGGTTTCCGGCTCCTAGCAGTATTCTAGCCCTTTATCATATTCATCCAGGCATACAGACTATTTTTTCTCAGTTAAGCATCTATGTTACTGCATCAGTCAAAAAAAACATTTGTTTTCTTTGTAAAACAGCAGTTAAAATACAGTGATTAATATGTTTCAAAGTTTTGTCTGTTGTTTTAAGTTACATTAGAGAACTTGCGACACTTACAAGCAACAACTGGGGAATTCTATGCACAATAACTGAAATCCCATTCTAGGTAAATCACTACTTTTAAACAATATATTTGCAGACGACACGGAAAAGTTTGGGAAGGTATATCTATTTGAAAAACCCAGCTTAACATTGCTTATTGGTACTGAATTATATTCAAAATGAAAAAGGTACGAAAAAATGCTATGAAATTTTGAATAAATGTGAGCAAAGGTGTAACATCTCAGGCCTTTATTCCATTAAAATGTAAAATAAAAGAGCAACATTAAAACATGGTAATGCTGGACAGGTACCTAACTTTGTTCTGTCAAAGTTTGCACTCTTCGGTAGACAGATTTTTATTTTATTTGTTAAAAAGTGCGATTTGGGGCCGGGAACTGCTATGAAACCAAAGGGCATTTATGTACGTGATAAAATGCGCTTTGAAATACTCAAATATGGTATTTTCATGCATATTTTTCTGTCGATGTTTGATGAGTATTCCCCTATGTAATCTTAGTGGAGCACACTCTGCTACTTTTGCTGTAATTGATAACAAAAATATATAGTCAAACTTAGTTCGCTCGAACCTGGAGGGACAGTTCAAATTTGTTCGAGAGATTGGTAGTTACAGCCAACCGCAGTTGAGTTTTTATCATGTATCGTACTTTTTAAAGACATAGGTGTGGAAATTATCCTGGTTATATACTCATTTATTATGGAATAAAATGATACAAATTACTTAGCCCTTAGGTAAGGGAAGCATGCCTATATATTGTCTGCTTAAAAAAGGTGGTTGCTTAAAACATGTGAAACTGAGAACAACGTGTACGTTTTGATACATTTTTGTTTTGTGGTTTAAGCCATTATACTGCTGAATATCAATGGCCACTGGTTCAATTTTTGATGTAGATGATAGCCTATCACCTATTCATCCTTTGCAGACACATTTTTGTGCAAAGGATGATCGTACTGCATTTCATAATGATTTACAATCTTATTGAATAACAATAAACGCCAAAACGTGCCGTGATTTAGCGCAAGAAACACACTGGCAATAACAAAAGTTATCATAAGAACTCTGTGACATCTTCAGAGTTATCACAAGAACTCCGGGACATTTGAAAAATCGAGTATAAATCTGTTAGCCTGTGCTTTATGTTTGCAATTTTGCCTTATAATTAGGTAATTATGTATGGCAAGGATGAAGACCAGAAATAAACCGATCAAAACTTGTGAATTGGCAAATAATTTGGAAGTTTTACTGAAAACTACCAGATTTATAGCAAGAGGCGATGAAAAATGGCCTGTGAATTAGGCTTTGACACATAATACAAGATGTAATACAAGCTTAATCATTAAAGTTTAATTTAGCACCTTAAACTCATTTTTGAACGATGAAAATAACCATTTTTGACGGTAGTTTTTGTAGTATATACAGATGTTTTCCGACGAACTCCGTGTCAGTTATCACAAGAACTCCTGAACAAGTTATCATAAGAACTCCATCCTTCGTGTAACACTTTCTCCCCCGTGATAACATACACCTCAATCAAACAGCTTAGGACTCGCGTGCTCACATTTTATAGATAATTTTCGTCTCACTTGTAGCACAAAAGCTCAGTTGAATTGTATTAAACACGATATTTCATAATCTAGTATTTGGCTGAAATATTGATTTTTATATAATTTTTACTTATAAGATAAATGTACTATTATTTTCGTCTTTTCGAGACAGTAATGGTTTCCGTAATTGTCGAATAGAAGTTTTTTTATCATGTTATTTATATGCATGACGCACATTTGAAAGTTACCCGTGCATTGAAAAAGATATCATAAAAAAATGGAAATGGTATTTGAACCGGCACCAGTATAGTTGATGGACCAGCAAGCTACCACTACACTACAATGTATCACTGTAAAAAGTATGCCCAATAA